GCCGGATACACCGCCCGAGAACATCCGCTGCTACTTTTGCAGGCAGCGCCATTACTCCTCTAGTTGCCCCAACTACACTCTTTTGAGTGAGAGGATGGATCTGAATGCGAGGAGGGGCGGATGTTTCTTGTGCTGTGGCATCCATGCCGAGGAAGACTGCCCTCGCTATGGCAGGAGATGCCGGTCGTGCCGTTCTAAGGACCACGACACCTCATTCTGCTTTAAACAGCACCACTGTACCTGTGATATCCCATATGACGAATACCTCACCACCCTTGAACAGTACAAGGCAATGGCTGACATGCGCAGGCGACAGAGAGCCAGGAGAGAGCAGAGGAGAGACGCCTCGCCCCACGATCGTCAGCCCCAGAGAAGAGATGCCTCGCCTCACGATCATTAGCCCCAGGTTACGTTTCCCCAACTTACGAGTTTTTGGTGAAGCCTTATGCTCACCCCCCAACTTTCATTCCTTTATTAATGTTATTTGTTCAGATTGAGGATAAGATCCCCCAAGTTTCGAGTCCACTGTTGCGATAGCCCCAACTATCGAGTTTTGGGTGGAAGATGGAGAGTTTCCCAATTTGCGTGATTCCCACGTGACTATAGCCCCAACTGACGATTTTTGGGTATGTTTAATTTAGTTTAACTATTTTATTCGTACCCTTTTATTTTCTTTTCTTTTTTCTTTTGATTTTGTGGTTTTTGGCGGGCCTTAAGCTCGCCCAGTTTTTTGTTGCTGACCCTATTTTAGGTTGGCCCGCAGTTGACGTGTATCTCAAGTGCCTACTTCCCAACTGTCGAGTTTTGGGGGCCACGGTGGGAGACCGTGTCATTTTTGGAGTTTTTGGGATGCCCCCTTTCGCATGTGTCTCGCCCCAGGGGTCTTGTGTTGCGAGGTAAAATCTCCCCCTCGCTTTGAATTCATCCCCAGGCGTGAAAAACCGCGCCAGTAGGCAAATTTAACATCTTTTGCCAACTCATCGTCACTTCAACGTCACCAATGTCGAGCCGCTGTCACGTCAAGCCGAACATCCACGTCAAGCCGAGTTCCATGGTCCGTTCAAGCTGTCGATGCCGCAACTGTCGAGTCAATGGTCACGTCAATGGTCACCTCAACTGCCGTTCAACGCAACCATCGTCTCCACAACTGCCGAAGAAGCCCGCCAGTATCCAGAGTAGAGCCCCCGACGACTCTTCATGCTTACCTCCGAGAACAACCGGCTGTTACCACGACAGGCTGTAGGTCCCGCGTTCCACCTAGGGATTCTTAACTCGTAGGTTTGTATGTATGTTTGACTCGTAGGGTCGTAGGTAACATGGCAGATCGGGAGCTACCTCGGACCCTTTCTTTTCGTTGCCCGGAGTGTCGCGGATTCGCGACTTCCTTCAAAGGTCGCCGCCGCCGCCTCGCGAAGGGTCCCAAAACGCCGTCCTCGCGCTGTCCCGCCTCTCACCTCTCTCACCTGCGCGGCGTTTAAATAAGTCACGTAGTCAGTCTTCGCAGCTGCCGTCACAGTGAGCGGTCGGGTTCCAATCGTCTCAAGCCATCGATCGATCAGCGCTACCCCATCTCACGCGTCGCTTCCATCAACGCCAAGGAGGACTGGCTCCCACGCTACGAGGTAACCCCGAGCGCGCTCGCACCTGGCACACGCCGGCGACACCGCCTCGGGGGGTTTCCGATATTGCCGACCCCTAGGTTAACATCTGGTCGGTTGTGCTCATCCTGTATGTTTGAGTGTAGGGATAAGTTTGCGGATAAATGGTGGGCATTGTGCAGGTGTGATATGTGTTGGAGCGGTGGCCACAGCTCGACTGTGGCTCCGGAATATTGTGTTATCATTTGTGTGTGTATTTCGTAATCAAGCCTAGCGGGTAACATCTGTAGGAAGGCTGGCACGATGCATGCTAAGTGCCACGGTTAGGAGTACACGCCCCAGCTGTCGATGGCTGGAAGAATAGGTCGAGTCCCAAGCAACGAATCGCTACTAAGCAGGCTGGTGGCAAGGGCCCCTAGGAGTGTAAGGAGTTCCCACGTGGCAGGCACAAGCATCGTTACACAGGTAGCCACCTCACACGTTACGTTCCATTATTTCACGGTGCGGACCCCTGGCTCCCTTCGCCGATGCAGGAGAGCCTAGATACCACTGACGCTGGGAGCTGGGGGCCCAATCCGCGACACGCACGATAAACACGTAACGAAGTAGATAACTCCTGAGATCAAGCATTCATCTTCTTTCGTCCTGAATTTATACAGAATCTGCAAAGGGATTGATACGGTGTTACATGTGATGATCGTGATGCACCCTTCCTTCATCCTTAGATCAATGGCCTTAATCAAAATGTTCACAGAATTTTGCGCTTCAGAAGCTGCGGCTCATACATGGTATGGACATACGTAATTCAGCATTTCCAGATCCTGACTGATGGGGTTGGTGATTTTGATTTCTATAACTTTTCAAGGTGTTCCTTAAAGGCAGTACATCGGCAGAATGAGACCCGTGACAAAACGAGGTCACAGGGTAGGGGCCCCCATATGGAACCTATGGGCCAAAGTTCGATCTTTCTTTGCCACTTCTAACCCCCGAAGTTTCAAAGCGAAAGCAGCGCTCAACTCCTGTCCTCTCCGAACCCGCCCACCCCATGGACGAGTGAACGCGAAGCCCGTCATGGCGAAGGCGCAGAGTCGTTGCGGGACCTCATGCTTATAGCATTGCGGCTGGCGCTCTGACCGCGGAAGTCACTCGTCCATGGGGTGGGCGGGTTCGGAGAGGACAGGAGATGAGCGCTGCTTCCGCGTTGAAATTTCGGGGGTTAGAAGTGGCAGAGAAAGACGGACTTTGGCCGATAGGATCCATATGGGGGCTCCTACCCTGTGACCTTGTTTTGTCACGGGTCTCATTCTGCCGAGGTACTGCCTTTAATGCAACAGCAAAGAAAGCGTCTTGTTTCTCGGATGTAAGTATCACCGCATGACAAATACGTAGCAAGGTAAATAACTCCTGAAATCGAGTATTTATTTTCCTTGGCACATGGGCAAACGACACAAGCTAGAGTGAGGCATGTACGATCATAAGAAGATCGCATAAATTTAAGTTTCAGGTTGGAGAGTACTTCAACCATCTTGACAAGGACCTGCGACTCCGAGAAGCGCGCAAGAGCCGCGGGTTCTTTTATCCTTAGAAACGGCAAGCAAAAAGAACTTTTGGAAAACAAACCTTGTGCTGTTTGAGACATGCTCTTTATTTATTTATTTATCTATTTATTTATGTGTTTATTTGTTTATTTATGCGTTCGATAATGCGCCAACGAACTTGTTAGTTCAACAAGGTTGTCTTGATTAGCAACAAACGATTGGACAAACAGTAAGCGCTGGTTTTCGAAAAAAACAAATGCCGCAAAAAAATATGTATAGCCCACACTCAATAGGTATCTGTATAGATGTAAGTATAAGCGAAGGATGAACGGTCATGCTGCAACCATAGTGTGAAGAACCTTTGAGTTATCACTTACCAAGAAGAGGAAGACACCAGAGGAATGGTCTTAATTCCGTGCATGCCCCAACGGAATAACCTCATCGAGCTTCTCTTACATCGCTTTCATGGAGAAAAAAGGTAGCAGACGTAAAAATACGTTACGCTTGCCGGGATGCGCCTTGCTTTCATGTCTTTCGCCGAGTTTGATAGAGCGAGTTCAAATTAGATCTACAGTATGGGGCGAATCATCGTTCACTCATTTCTACTGTAGGATTACGGTAGGAACTTCGACAAGGATTTGAAGCTATTGGAGGCCATATTCTGCCTCGGAACAAAACAAAACAAGCCAAAAGCTCTTGTTCTATGGTAATAGAGGCCGCTGATTCCAAATATGAAATTTCCACTTCACTGTGATGCTTCTTTCCAAAGTTATCCCAGGTAAACTGTAATAATTGAATTTTCAGTATTTGTCAAATGTGATTACGCCGTCAAAAAGCTAAGAACACTTGTAAAAAGTTGTATAGTGGAATCAGCGTGCGCGGAAACCCTAGTGCACAATTTTCCGCATTTTTTGAAAAAAATTTGGTCAAATGGCATACATATTTCACAATGGATCCACATGCTAGAAGTTTACACCGTAATCCTACAGTAATAAAGAGCGATTGGTGATTCGCTCCATACTATATCTAAGTTGAACCTCGCTCTAAAGAATGATGCAAGCTTCAAGCTCAGCGAAAGACATGAAAGCAAGGGAGCTATTAACGAAACAGTGTTAACATTTTTGGGACACCCTGTATAAAGCAGGAAATTTATATGTTTGTGCACATTCCCCATAGTCATGAAGGATGAGCGGTGAAGCAGATTCTGATCTACTGGCTTCAGGACATGGTAAAGACGGTAGGAAGCGAACCCAAGACGAGTCGGAACCAAATGGACGGTAAGTACGACTGACTGACTCCAAACCGGGGTGGAGCCCGGGATGCCAACTCGTGTTTTTATAAAATGTTATCCAGTTACTCCACGAGTGCAGCTGTGAAATAGCTAAACTAGTGGACAAACTGGCGCAAAGCCTACTTCGAGCTCTAATTTGTACGATGTGGAGCCATACCAGCTTCCCGAAACCACCCTCCAAATTTGCTTTGTGTTTGTCGTAGGAAAATCGGCCTTTACTACCCGGATGCACACTGATCAACATATTTCTTCCCATTTCATACCATCTTCTCCCATACGTGTTTTCGCTTCATCTAAATATTCTTTAGCTTTTACAGCTCATGATGCTACTTTGCAGAAAGCAAAACGAAGTTGGAACGCTTCTTGTAGCCTCATTTGAAACTATTCATCAGTTTAACAGTTGCCATACTCGGTCATTTTACTAACTCCGTCTGAAAACTAGAGGATATTGAAAAACCTTGAAAAATACCTGCATAATGTTGACTCTTACAAACGATCAATTTATGCAATAAAACCTTTTATTAACGGGATTATATCAGCTGAAATTTGATAAGTTTCATATCTCCTAGAATTCTACTTCAGAGATCTATTGAATTTCTGCGACATAGCAGCTGGTCCATAAGATCGCGACTCGTGCTCGGGAGGATCCTTAGGAAAAGTTGGCCGAGTGGACTCCATGGCTTCTGCTTTTTGTTGTTTCTCCTGCAATTTATACTATTTTGCACTGCACAAATACTGTACAAAAGCACAGTGTCAATAGAAAGAACTAGCGGAACTGAGAAATAAGGAAACAGGAGGAGAGGAAACATGTACGAGATCGTGGTATAAGGAAGTGGTAAGCGAGCACTATACCATCCGAAATGTTAAGCCATGCCAAAACTAACAATGGTTCAGTTTTGGGAAATTGAAATATGTAAAAAAAATCTGACTTCAAACTCCAGTTTTAAGTGATACTAGCTGGCAAACCCGGCTCCCCCGTCCCTTTCAATGATTTTTTCGTAATCAGGATGCTCACTTTCCCCTTGTGCTAACTTCCAGCCCTGTAGCTCAAACTTTGCAAAAAATCGACAAAATGGATATCGATCGACAGCAAAAAGTAGCTTACGACACCCGCCCCGCCCCAAAGTGTATGTGTGCAAAGTTTGGTCCGTATCACCAGTCTATTGGCCCTGCTAAAGCATTCGAGGATGGGTTGCCGTAATTTCAACAGACGAATGTGAAAACAGGAAGTTCAGCTCATTTCAACTGATCTGACGGAGGGTCCACTATGGCTATCGTCTAAACATGCTTAAACTTGTTCTTCCGTGATTTCAAGTAGCAAGTAATGCTAGATGAGATAGACTACAAGCAACTTGTAGACAACATAGCTTGCTTAAAGGCAGTGTCTCACCCAAAGTTGAGGTTGCACGGATCTTCAGATATTCTATTACAGGGATCTCTAAATAGGCCATTGCAACAAGTCCCACTCGATTTGACCCCCTCCACGCTGAGAAAAATTCGCACAAAGAGGTAGCCGAGAGCGACTTGGTACGCATGGACGACTCCTTCTGTCTCCCCCCCCCCTTACGCGTTTGAACATGTCCCTCCACTTGGCATCCACCTCCCCTCTGTTGCTGCCACTGTGGCTGAGGCTGAAGTTGGAAGGAACAACTCGTCCACGTCGCTTCCGCGGGGCCTCCAGAAAACGGGGTTTTTGGGAACTTCATGCGATTTTAAGCTCATACAGTGCTAGACAGGGTACGACAGGCTTGCAAAATGCAAAAATTTCGGCAACTAAATTTTGGTAAGACACTGCCTTTAAGCAAATGTGCAAAGCGGTGTCAAATCTAGAATGTCTAGAAACTAACTCGAACTCTTTTCTTGAACAATCTTGTTTGTTCCCGTACTAGTTCAGCCTCGGTGATATATTCTGGATCCGTATGAAACGCGTTCATTAGAGTTTCCATGGATATAATCGGCGCCGATTTGGTTCGCATATGCTCTGTTGGGCATACCTCAATTGCAATTTGTGATCCATATAGACCTCATTAGTAAAATGCGTATCATTGACTTAGGAGACACACGCTGCGCGCACGTTTGACTAACAAGTTTAGATTTGTGCTTATCCTTATCCTGAAGGGTTTATTGCCTCAAATCTTGAAAGAAATGGGGTGGAAGACTATATGTTGCCGAATGTGGGAGGATTCCTTGTAGGAACGTATCTCCGTGCATATGCAAGGGTGCGTATTTGTTGCAAGACGGGAGGACCGCTCTTTTTCGGCGATATATAATCCTCTACCCAGAAGATACAACTCAGACAGTCGAAGGGATACCAAAGGGGCAAATGGCGGGGGTCTGCCACTTCGTGCTCCGGAGCCCTCCCATTCCGCGCGTTTTGGTGCTCCGAGGCTCTTCCAAAAGCGCATATCCGGAGCAGAAATTTGCGAGCCCCGAGAAGGGGTCCCATTCGCCAAATGGGAAAAATGGGACCCCTCCTCGGTATCGCAAATCTCTGTTCCTGGGGTGCGCCAGATTTCAAGGAGCCCCGGAACACCAAAACGCGTGAAATGGGAGGGCTCCGGAGCACAGTGGCAGAACCCCGCTGAGCAGAGCCCGGGACCCTCCCATTTCCGCTCCGAAGGTATCCCTTCGACAGTCTAAGAAGTTTGATCCTGTTGAGCGGTGTGTGCATAGCGTTTTCAAGTATTCTTATTTAAAAATGGATGGTAAATGACCATCCATTTTGTCATGACCATCTGTAATCTACCTTGATAGCAAGTCTTGCTGGTTTGCTGTTGGGCACAGTAGAAATATTCATAGCCATTCCAGTCGGTTTGGCGAGAAATCTCAGAAGTGCTTGTTCGATCACCTAAATATATGGCATTTTGTGCACAAAACCATCTCATTCCAGTTGAACAGTTTGGGTTTATCGAAGGCTCTTCGACCACCCTTCAATTATTGGTCTGTGAACATCACTGGAAAAAAGCTTTATCTCAAAATCGATTTACCGATGTTCTTTATTTTGATCTGTCTAAAGCCTTTGACAGAGTAGACATTCCCAAACTGCTTGAAAAGCTTTTCCAAGTAGGAATTCGTGGAACTGTTTTGAAATGGCTCTCATCTTATCTGTCCAATAGGACTTTTTCCGTCCGCTGTAATTCTGCTGACTCTTCCTTCTACTCAGCAACTAGTGGAGTGCCACAAGGTGGTGTATTGTCCCCTGTACTTTTCAATATTTACACAAGTGACCTTCCTGGACTCTTAACTACAGACTGCAGAGTTAAGGTTATGGCCTATGCTGATGACATTAAAGTGTTTGCATCCTATGTTGATGCTGATAGAGGTGAAGTTACACAAGCCCTTAGAGACTGCCTGCAGAATATTCTGAATTGGGCCTCTCTTAACAGTATTGACGTTAACCTAACAAAAAGTGCCTGCCTGACAATCTCCAAAAGAAAGGAGAATGATTGCACCTTTGAGAAATACGAGCATTCTGGTACCTCTCTTTTTAGGCCTGGACTAATAAGAGATCTTGGGGTGCTAGTTGACCAAGAGCTTCGATTTAGATCCCATATCGAGAAAATAGCACGTGCAGCCCTGCACAGACTCTTCCTCTTGCTACGTAACTTGAAGCATGTTGATGAGAAAGTTTACATCAGAATGTATATGGCTTATGTCCTCCCGCATTTAGAATATGCTAGCCAAGTTTGGAGTCCATATATAAAGAAGGATATCTTGACTTTGGAAAGAGTTCAGATGACTTTTACTCGTATCCTTTTCTATAGACTTATGCCTAACGACGATTACCCAGCTGCCCTCCCGTCCTATAGAAGTAGGTTGGCCCGCTTCAAGCTCCATAGCCTGCTTTACCGAAGGGTTGTTGCTGATCTAGTACTTGCCTTCCAAATATTACGTCTCGAGACTAAGCTTTTGCCTAGTGAATTTTGGGTTTGGAAGCCTTGCCATGGACGTACAGGTAGGTTTAATTTTTACTGTGCTGATTCAATAGGATCAACAAAATTGAACAAGCTTTTTTATAACTCCTTTTTTGTTCGTACTGCACGTTGGATGCAAAAATTGCCTGACTCTGTCATCTCTTCTGTTAACTCAAAATTGTTTAGAAAAAAGCTTTTGGAATGCGACTTTTTGAGTTTGTTAGGCATTGACGAGTCTGAATACTTTTAGATGTAGGGTCTCTTTTACAAGGTGTGTCTTTCGTTTATTTCAATCCGTTTTTTCTTCTCCTCTTTTTTTCAGAAAATGGTTAAATTCGGCTGACTGCTTTACATCTTCTTTCTTGCCACGTCTTTCTCATCTGCGATAAGCTTGGGAGTTTAGCTTTCTCTTTAGTTTGTAGTTGTTTTTCTCGGTTTCCTTTTTAGATCCCGCTTCTCGGCGGACTCAAGGTGTGTCGTCCAGTATACGTTGACAACGCATGATCGAGTTCCAGTTCTTTTATTTGCCTGTACTACCTTTCCTTTTGTAAGAGTGTAAGATAGATGCCGTTTCGTATTGTTTGATCTTTGGTTTGATGATGTGTCAGTTCAATTCGACTGAGACATATTTGTCGTTCTGGGTCTAATTTTTCTTTTCTTCCTGGTACATAAGGCTAACCTAAGGAGACTGCCCGAAATATTTTTTTTACCGAGCATATTTCCAGTTTTCCTATTGAGTTTGTGGCTCATCCAGTATGTTCGGTTGTACTAGGGTTGCCTAGTTTGTCGCGCTAGCATGCCCTTTTCATAGTCTCCGTCATACTCCTTGAATGTAGGTCGCTTGCTGGTCAGCGAGGGTGGCATGCGCAGACTCATATGAATATCCTTTATGGCAGCGCTTCTGATAGTTAGTCCTTGTGTTCTATCATTCATTAGTTAACCTAGAGTGGCGAATGGTCTCAAAAAAGCTATTTTATTTTTCTGCATTAAGCCTTTCTTGTCTCTGAGTTTGTGTATTTCTAACACTGGTTTTTGTTCTCAAGAATCTGTTGGTTACTAACCCGACACTATGGCGCGCCTGTGGCGTATTCAAATAAATAAATAAATAAATAAATAAATAAATAAATAAATATATCACTATTGAATTTTGGTAACTTTTCTGAGAATTAGAACTACATGCACCTTTTTGCTCTGCTCCAACGAACCCTTTTCCGCTCTCTGTACTTCGAGAGTTTTCTTGTTTTTCTCCTTATGTTCCAGCAACCTGAATACCTGGATTCTAGAGCCCGTTCATCTTATTATTATGAAAAGCACTTGTTCAGCCTTTTAAGCAGGTCCCATTCAACTGGCTCCGGTTTCACTGGAGCTGGCAGAAGCTCAATTTCATGTGCGTAGTATGGCCGATCATTCGCGGCAGTTCCCTAGCAATTTTGATTACTAATGATCTGGTGTGGAGGATCTATGTAAAAAGCCAAAGCTACCTCGGTAGCATATCGTATCTCCCTTTCTTCAAATCGACGAGGAGTGATAATTGTATCGTACGATATAGTTCCAGAAGAATTTGAATAATTAGAGAGTATATCTGGATAGTATTCTGCTACCTGAAAGCGGGCCAAGTCATACCGTTGTTCCATCAAAATAGAGGCAAAATGGCTAAAAAGTCCATGATTCGTCCTAAAATATGAACAAATGCTAACTCTGGTGCTTTGTGAAAGACTCTGAGACATGATGTTTCTATTTACAGCATGTCTTTTTATTATTTTGTGTAGATCATGAGATAGGGATCTTATTCCCGTGACAGGCATCTTTGCACTGCGGAATTTTTTAAAGGGGGAATGGCGATCTGATGGTCGCGACTTTGTTCTAAATGTAAATACATACCCTGTAGCCAAAGCTCGATAAAAATTCAAAAAAAAGGTCCGTCATTTACTCTGCAAGGATTATGACAAGCCTTTTGAGGTGTTAACAGAGGCCTTGAAGCAATCTGACGAGCACGGTGGGCGGAAGAAAGAAAGGGAAGGAAAAATCAAAAGGCGCAAAATTCATGTATTTGACAGTATTAAGTGACAGTACTAAAGTTGATATTAGTCTTATTAACATCGATGGAAGGGGCGAGGGGAAGGCTGAAAACTGAATGTTACCTACTCGAGTTATAAAATTGTGCATGTGACTTGTTCACTTGTGAATAATCACGGTAACTTCTAGCTCTTTTTGAAAAATTCAAATTAGCTTTGTTAAAAGTTTTGATGGCTATGCCTACGCTGCGTCTCCTTTCTTATCATCCCAAAAATTTTTGGATGTCGTCCTGCCCCGATCGAGATTTCTCGTACGGTGGTTTTTGTATATTCGAAATGGAGAGAACGGAGCTCAGGATGACTTGAATCTATACTAATGATTAGGATTCGGATTGGAACATTAGATGAAACAAAGTCGAGAAAATGTTTGAAAGGAAGAACTAGTTTGGATTGGTTCATGTGCCTAGCGTGACTAGCACCGAACTGGCATCGAGCCAGCCAATTTTTTGGGAGAACGTTCTAGGTTTATGTAAGTTTACGTTTGATAGAAAACGAAAATATTGTCATGTGTCAAACATAGAGAATGATCGAGACTATTGTGGACTATTGTGTTCTGGGTGGAAATGATTTAGGCAATCTAACTGAACAAAATCTAGTCTTTGTTCGAAAGCGTTCTACTGTTATTCTTAGGGGCTTTTGGTCTCAGAGACAAAGCGATGGTAACAGTGTATTATCATGGCTTATAATAAAGCGCTTAGCGTCTGTCTTTTTGTCCGTGTGTGTGTGCATGTCTGTCTGTCACGAAATTCATAGAGGGAGCTACAGAATACATCCTGAGTTGATTTTTTGCACAATGTACGCTGGCTGTGTCTAGGCTCACCCTACGCAATGGCAAACGGATCTGATGCACGGGACCTTCGAAAATGGTGTTTAGAGCGGGTCCACTTGGCTTTTGGCATGCAAAACTAGGTCGCTAATCCAACTTTTTGCAAAGTCATGATTTGCCTGACAAGTAAACCTGCGCTCCATGAATTCTAGCCCCAAACGTGCTCAAAAAGTTTGTTTTTCTGCGAAAACAACGTCAAAAAGTGGTGATAGCGTAGATAGTCGATTTGGCAAGGTTTTACCTTGGCATTTGGAAAGATTTTTGCACGGAATTGTAGCCCAAAGTGACTACTATCCTTATGACGACTACCAAGCCAAAACAGATTGAGTGATACTTGGGACTTACATACTCGTCCTTGATTATGGCTCGTTTCTCTTCCTTAGCTGCCATTGACTTGATGATTGAAGCAGCTATTCTGAAGTCTGATTTGTCACCAAATTCTTAGGTTCTCGAGTACTCGCTTGCTCTCTGTTTTGTACGACGATGCAACGAAGATTGCCGACACTGATTGACAGAACGCTCGGGCAACTCGAAGAGTCACGAAATTGCAAAATGAGCCTCCTCAACAATCATGCTTGCAAGTGAGTAAACAAAATGCAAAGAGTAATTCTCTGCATAGCGGAAAAATAAGTGGTTAGTCATTTCCCTAGCTCTCACATAAGTATCATTCGCATGAGTTTTCAACTATGCAAAATAATAGTTTTTGCAGCGATTTGTAGAGCTTGCTGAGGTGCGAACTAAAACGAATAAACATAGAACCTTGCGGAAATGCTTGTTTATAAAAATCTAGAGACTAGCCATTTTGGGCTACTTCCTTCAAAGCTGACGATGTTTGGATCCGAAAATAAAGTCGTTATTACTCCAGTGCAAACTCTTTTGTAGCAATAAGCATGATTTACAGTGACATGTCCTTTTACGAAACTTCCAAACAAAATTCGGCAAACCGGCCATCTACCGTACACCTACCGCACGTCCAAAATTGCGCAAAACCACCAATCAAGAGACTTCTACCGAGCTGATCACTACTGACATTCATCCAGTTGGGATTTTTTGGGAATGGTGAATAGTCACAGAAAATACGTTTGCTCCAGAAAATTTATAAGTAGCATTTGTTATGTACTTCGACAGTTCTGATGAAATAACAAAAATTCACTAACACGATGGTTTGAGAGAAATTTGTTCACAAATTTTCACTCGCTATACATTCGCTAGCATGCTGCAACGATGGCAGCTGTGCGATTAATTCGTCGACCCACATTCTTGGAAGAATGGGTTATTCCTGGAGGAATTAGACATCTGCAGTTTTCTCTACCGTCTTTCTTAAATAAAGCACAACATGTCATCTTATATATAAAGCTGAATGTCTGTTTGTCTGTCTGTCTGTCTGTCTGTCTGTCTGTATGTCTGTCTGTGTGTACGTATGTTCCGAATAGAAAATTCCATTTCTAAACCGATCCGGACCAAACTTGGCATACATACACTTCAGGCCCCGGCGCGTGTCATGGGCTACTTTTCGTCATCGATCGATATCGATTTTATCGATTTTTATCGATTTTTTTGCAGAGTTCACCTACGGGGCTGGGAGTTGGCACAGGGGGGTAAGTGAGCATGGGGATTCCGAATACAACATTGGTTTTCAGGATTATCGATTACTTTTATCGATTTTATCGATTTTTTTGCAAAGTTTGAGCTAGGGGGCTGGAATTTGGCACAGGGGTGTAATCGAGCATGCTGATCACCCCCCTTGGGAATGATCAGCATGCTCGATTACCCCCCTGTGCCAACTCCCAGCCCCCTAGCTCAAACTTTGCAAAAAAATCGATAAAATCGATAAAAGTAATCGATAATCCCGAAAACCAATATTGTATTCGGAATCCTCATGCTCGATTACCCCCCTGTGCGAACTCCCAGCCCCGTAGCTCAAACTTTGCAAAAAAATCGATAAAATCGATAAAAGTAATGGACGATCCTGAAAACTAATATTGTGTTCGTAATCAGCATGCTCGATTACCCCCCTGTGCAAAATCCCAGCCTCGCATGTCAAAATTTACAAAAAAATCGATAAAATCGATAAAAGTAATGGACGATCTTGAAAACTAATATTGTATTCGGAATCCCCATGCTCGATTACCCCCCTGTGCAAACTCCCAGCCCCGCAGGTCAAACTTTACAAAAAAATCGATAAAATCGATAAAAGTAATGGACGATCTTGAAAACTAATATTGTGTTCGGAATCCCCATGCTCGATTACCCCCCTGTGCAAACTCCCAGCCCCGCAGGTCAAACTTTACAAAAAAATCGATAAAATCGATAAAAGTAATGGACGATCCTGAAAACTAATATTGTGTTCGTAATCAGCATGCTCGATTACCCCCCTGTGCAAAATCCCAGCCTCGCATGTCAAAATTTACAAAAAAATCGATAAAATCGATAAAAGTAATGGACGATCTTGAAAACTAATATTGTGTTCGGAATCCCCATGCTCGATTACCCCCCTGTGCAAACTCCCAGCCCCGCAGGTCAAACTTTACAAAAAAATCGATAAAATCGATAAAAGTAATGGACGATCTTGAAAACTAATATTGTGTTCGGAATCCCCATGCTCGATTACCCCCCTGTGCAAACTCCCAGCCCCGCAGGTCAAACTTTACAAAAAAATCGATAAAATCGATAAAAGTAATGGACGATCCTGAAAACTAATATTGTGTTCGTAATCAGCATGCTCGATTACCCCCCTGTGCAAAATCCCAGCCTCGCATGTCAAAATTTACAAAAAATCGATAAAATCAATAAAAGTAATCGATGATTCTGAAAACCAATATTGTATTCGGAATCCCCATGCTCACTTTCCCCCCTGTGCCAACTCCTAGCCCTGTAGGCGAACTCCGCAAAAAATCGATAAAAATCGGTAAAATCGACATCGATCGATAACGAAAAGTGGACTGTGACACCCGCCGGGGCGCGAAGTGTATGTGTGCCAAGTTTGGTCCGGATACGGCGGAGCCGGGTAAGCCAGCTAGTACACACTAAAGATGAAAAGAGGGTGGCAGACTGTCTAGCAAAGAGCACACTAGAGTTTCAGAGAAATGCTATCAGGGACTAACAAAAAAAAGGCAAGTTTCATCTGAAAAATCGCTTTTGAGGGCAAAAAAAATAGAAAACTGATATTTTATTCGCAAATTGAAGAGAAGCATTAATATTTGGAAGTACCGTATTTCTACCATTATTTGAATGATACACATGGGCTTAGTAACATTTGCATTTACTAGTTAAGATCTGATTTTCAAATGGGATATCGCAGAATTTTACATTGACAAACCATCCCCCACTCCCGATTGCATTTTTGGATCGAATTCTGAGCGTTATCATTTTTTATTTACACCTGTCGCTCATCTTGGTCGGCCGCCCTTGGGTATTTAGCTATAGTGAGACAAAATAGAATTCAAGAGAAGGCAGTTGTATCTTCTTTCCGGATTAGCAGCTTCTATAGTGATCACATTTGGCTAAGATTATTCTTCCCGATGCGAGGTTGGAAATTAATAGTCAGAGACCAATTTTGAAGCAGAATGTTAACAATTTGAAATTATCAACAAGTTGGTTCAAAAGTTCCCCATCGGAATTTAACTGTTGCTTCTTATGGTTTGCACTTTCTACAAAAGTCTACAAAAACAGCGGCTAAGTGAAATTGTCATCTTTTGAACTTCAATACCTGGAGTTGCTGAAAGTTCCAAAAAAATCTAAAGAAATTCCCAATCTTCTTTTGATGTTGGAAATTGGAGATTGAATACCAATTACGATATCGCCTTTATCTTTCTGTAATCCACACGTAAAAGTGAAAATAATGTGAAGTAAAAATTTTTTCACTGAAGTGAGAGCTCGAGTTAGTGGATCTTTCTACTATTACGTAGATTTTCGGCTTTTGCGACGAGAGAGAAATTTAGAAATCGATCTATTTAGAATAAAATCTCTAATATGCATGGTAGAATGAAACGAATCTCTTATATTACAAAATATAAATAAGAAGTTCAGTAGTTTTTGTTTGATACATGTCTTAGGAAAATGCTTGGTATTTTTGGTGATCAACTTATGAACCCACGATCCGTTTCCAAATCTAAATCAATGCAATTAAAATACTCATTCTGAAGGCAAAAAGCTCGAACTTTCATTTGCTGATTTTGCTAATTCCGTGCGGTTCGCGTAATCATCTTTTGCGTAATTATGTAACTATTTAACTTTCACATTCACTTTTTAGGTGGCTGCGACATACCGTAACAATTTTTGAAGTATTCTACTCCAGGACCACTGCTCCACGTTCACCATCCGAACGGTACCATTTTACCATTACCATTTTAGGTGATCGATGCTCTCTCGACGTTTTCGCTCGCCTCCGATGTCGCTCTCGTTTGACCGGCACCAGCTGTCGACAACATCTGCACGGTCATTATTTGGTCACCACTACAATTCCATGAACAGAAGGTGGTCGGACAGTAGGTGCGCGGTTCACCCGTTCTTGTGATGGTCTCAGAAATCCTAAAATTTACAGTCAAGGAGTACTAAAATGTCGAAAAAACCAACTCCCCTCCCCCCCCCCCCAATTTCTATAGTTTTTTTGCTCTACTGGCTATTTTTAAATTTTGTCTTTTTCATATCCCCACAAATGGAATATCAACAACGCCTGGCAGCTAAGAAAATAATATAAAAGCGAGACAAAGTACACGAAATGGCCTAATAAGCACTTATGAGTCAGCAGCTGCCCGCACTACCGTATACCGTACCAATGTAAACATTCGTATTGCCCCACAGTCGAGGCGTCGCCCTTCTTTGTCCGAATTTCCCTCAAAACAGAAAAAAACTACTAGATATGGAAGTAACAGACAATTCTAGCTATACGCATGCAACATGCCAATTTTCAAGCCAATTTTGCATAACGCAATGAAGCGTCAACAAGTTCTGGCAATTGAACAAAACACAGAATTTACGAAAATTGCTTATTGGATTCGATTTGGCTCAGCTGTGAGCTGGAAAACGTGAGGGTGGTAAAATGGCTATGGACAGCTCAATGATTTAGATCTATTTAGTAGGATTTATGTCCTAGTGAAAAGCAAACATTGTAATTCGAACGCTCAGATCCAATTCCGATGCTTGGGATTAGTGGCGGGGATTACACCCACACAAATCAGAACATGCTGATAACTTTAGGTTGATCTATAAGTCGTGACTAAAAAATGCTAAAATTTTGTCTGAAAATATACAAAAAACGTTTCCATGTTAAAATATTCAAAAATTGTTTTCATGTTACATTTTAAACCTACAGTAACTACTCCATTCAACTATGCATATCAGTAATTTTATTTGAAATAAAATCGAAATGTCGAAAATTGATAGAAAAGCCGAAAATCGTAATTATCCGTAGAAACAGTCAACCGTTCAAATTTTTCGTAATTGCAAAGCTCATTCAATTACCCCGAACAGCGTAAGTCGTGAACTCCAACTAAAAACAAAATTGAAATTTCTTGGAATTTTCAATTTTTTCAGAGTGTTTGAGCATTGTTTGAGTGTTTCCCTTGATCAGCTTGCACCATGGAAAAAATAGATTTTTGTTCTAAACCTTATCAGAAAGGGAGCGGTTTCTTTTCTTACCAATCTACAATGGACTGAAGAATTTTCTGGAACAGCAAAGTTATTGTTTGATTTTTCAAAAGTTACAAGACTTATAGAACAACCTAAATTTTTGAAAAGGCCCAGAGATAGGCAATTTCAAATATTCAAAACATTAGCTTGATCTACTTATTGCATTTCTTTCGTTTTCCAAATCGATGCTTGGCTGGACTCTGAAACCTAGCAAGCACTCAGACAAGCCCATCCATTTACCGCTAACGAGGTTAATAAACGGGAGCGATCTAGGGGATCAGGATTACTCTACTTGGATGGACAGAACCAAATATTCTAGGGATATCAATTGGACATATAAGGGTGAGAATGTGCGATACTGAAGTTGATGCTGATGGCTCTATTTGCAAGTTTAATTGATTCTATACAAATTTTCTCACAAGACTGAATTTATGCTGGGATTTCATTGAAAATAATCCCTTTGAATATTTGGAAGCAAAATCCCTATTCTCGTTCATCACAGCTCAACAAAAGCGGCTATTACCATGCTCTACGAATATTTCAGATTTGAAGAACAACAGAGAGATGGACCTTCTCGCTAATCCCCAGCGAGTTCTTAGCCTAAGCCGCACATCTGTCCCCTTTTACGGTCCGTGGATGCTGATTTTCCCTATTCGCAGCTAATCGACACATGCCGAGCTCGCAGGAGCTCAGCTCGGTCAGTCGGTCCATTAGGCATGCAGCTGCTCGCAGTGCTCGCGCGGCTGCACGCGAATCGCCGCGGAGCGCGGGGCGGGGCGGCGCGCAGCGCAGCCAATCGCGCGGCGACGGGCGGAGTCCCGGCGCTCACAAGCGTGGAATTAATGAGAGCGTGCGGCTAATGGCATTAGACTAGCCGTGTCGTCGTGTCGTCGTCGTCGTGTCGTGCCGTGTCGTCTTGTGTCCTCCGTCAAGCAAAATCTCATCTCTACCGGCTACCGCGTCCTACCTTACCCTACCACTACTGATCTTCTGTGCTTCGTCGTCATCGTCATCGTCGTCGTCGTCGTCGTCGTCGTGAAACCTCCTCAAAAAACACTAGAAGCTGCTTATTCGATTTTCACCTCCTATTCCCCTATTGTATGGCTAGTATCTGCGCCACAAGTGATCATCTAAAAATTCACAACAACAAACGCGACACTACTTCCAAATCTGAAATGCGGGCCAGTTCTACGTCATCTACGGATTCGAACGGTTTTCCGGTCAAAGACGCTGATGCGCTGAAGCTGTTCGTTGGACAGGTAAGGGCTCTACTCTACTTTCTCAGCGCCCCTTCCCTCATTCAGTAAATTCTATTTACTCCTCGCCCCAATAAGCAAATCTCTTGTTTACCCATCTCTCACCGAGCCTAAGGCGGTGATACTCGTCCCGTGCGTGCGGCACCGGCAGAATCGATACGAAAGCTCCCTTCTTTTTCCCTTTGAGGGCTCGAAGGGCAAACTCAGTCAGATATCAACCATTAGGAGTGAATTCACACAGCACATTTCGTACAAGGGGCGAAGGCTGAAAAAAATTGGAAAAATAACATCAAAAATTCCAGATTCCACGTAATCTCGAGGAGAAAGACCTACGCCATTTGTTTGAGCAATTTGGCAAGATCTACGAGTTCACCATACTCAAGGATAAGTACACTGGTAAGGGCATTCAGCTAGAAAATTGGCCCGCTTCCAGCTTATCTTAGAATTTTTTAGGTATGCACAAAGGTTGCGCTTTTCTCACCTATTGTCATCGTGATAGTGCTATCAAATGTCAGGCAGCTCTCCACGATCAAAAAACTTTACCTGGGGTAAGTCAATCAATAATTTTTCATCAGACCTTTAATCTGCTGGTAAAAGAGCCCTCCAGAAGCTTCTTCTCTCCCAATATTTCTCTTTTTCATCTCCTAAAAATTCTTCTCCCAAGAGAATTTTCTCTCTCTCTTTCGCTTATGTATAGCTTTAGCAATAAACTACCTTCCTTGCCTACAGCTTATTTATCCATCCATTCACCTCCCCTTTCAAGCCAACAAATTCCTTCAATGAATCACTTTTCTTGCGCGAACGCAAATCCCGACTACAGTACTACTAGTAATCGCATCTTGTTGATTCTCGCCACGCATAACTCTCTATTCTATAAAGCAAGCCCCGTAAGAAATTGCCATGAACGTTGCCATGACACCCAGGTTCCTGCTGTCAACTAGAAATTTGCACAAATACTCGGAATTGCTTGGCAATTCAAGCGTTATACGAATGCCAAAGCGCTATCGGGGATAAATAGGGGGAGGGGGGGGGGGGGGGGGGGCTGTGGTAGGGGTTTTTAGCTTAGACAACAGACGGGAACTTCCGCCGGACAAGAAGCATTTTGCAGCTGTTCTACAAGATTTTGTTTCCAACCACAGAAGTTCAAGCGTCCAAAATGGGAACTTCCCCAGGAATTTGGCGCCACACATGTTAGAAACGGGAACTTCCACAGGATTATCCACAAAGGTTGCGGGAGTTTCGTTCCCCCAATGTTCTGCGGAAGCTCGGTCAATCGTTTGTCGGGGGGGGGGGGGGGGGCGGGAGGGGAAGTAATGAACTTGTACACCCAAAACCAAGGCTCAGGCCTTAACGTCCGTGATGACAAGTTAATACTTGTATTTTACCTCATCTTGGCCGATTTACGACTGGAATTAGGACTTACATGTTCGCACTTGTTAATCTTAGCTTGCGCAGACAGTCTGGGTATTGTGGGTCTTAGCACGAATGTTATCCAGCTTATAGCTTAGCTCTTAGTACTAAAAAATCTGCCTCCTGCCCCCCTTCCCCCCCCCCCCCCTCCCGCCCCTACAATCACGCAACAATCCTATCGACGCTCTTAATCAACTCTTTACGAACGTAATCCTCTTCTAGCCATAGCCTCTTGAGAGAAAGGACAGCCAGGTGTTTGCGCCCGTTCAGTGACCTCTAAAGCCCCTTTCATTAAGTGGTATCCTTCTCACCACCTTCTGTGTATTCGTAAGAAAAATCCACGAGCTGTTTGCCAAGCCCAACACCCCCCCCCCTGTCCCCTCCTCACTTCTTCAAAAACTCTCAAGAGGACAAAATCAGCGGCGCGAACTCGTTAGCGCTCTAGTTGTCAACGACAAAAACCTAATCTTTCATGCAACGAACTCGACTCTCTACATCTTCCCGAAAGAAGTTCTTGCCCTTTTGCATGCACATTTTCAGGGATCAGCGAGATTCTCCCCACAGAAAAAAATCAAAGCCGCATTCACATTTACTAGATTGGGTGCAGAAAGATCATTATTAGTCGCACGAGAACAGACGTGGGTAGAGAGCAGATGGTTGACGATTAATTGCTCAACACAGCGTATCATGAACGGCATTTGAGAAAGGAGTGTCTAATTAAGTATCAGGGGACATCAATCGTCAGATTGACAGCTTGTTAGCAGCAGGATAATTTTTTTTTGTTGAAAAAAAATAGATCTGCAAATGTAGTCTAGTGTCAGCTGATTGGGAAATTACGTAATTACATCGGCAAGCCTTAACAATTTGAGTTTTTTTTGCAAAAGCAATGTCCAGCCCACTAATCTTATGGATAGGTACTGTAGGCTTACTGTACCCGTAAATAATATCTCAGATTCCTACGGGACAGGAAAATTCTTGAGTTCTTTTAAAAAATCTGGAGAAACACATACAACTGGTTTTTTACACGGACGCCCCTTCCCTCCTGACTTTGATTCAAGCACCCTCATAGGAACAGATACGGTAGGATTACGGTACTTTGTATAAAATATTTTCACGCAAATGGTGCAACTGCTTATGTAGCTCCTTTTTTCAAATATGGCGAAATAATCCCCATAATCATTTTATTTCTAGTAACGAGAATTAGTCCATGAAAATTCCAAGCATCCTTATAAATTATCGTAGTGCAGATACTGTAGTCTTACTGTAAGGTAGTAAGAGTCTCATATGAATAATACAACTGCTTGAGTAGCTTTTTCTTCCAAAAAAAAATGGAAATTAAAGATCAACCTGTTTCAACAAAGTTTACCATCCCAATTGGAAACAAGCCAAGCATCCTCGTAGCATACTGTAGGTTTACTGTAATCAGTGTAATTCATTTCCTTCTACCTAAAGTCTCAAATCCATGCTGTTTGCAAGTCTGTGTCGACAATCTACAGACAAAATACACCTAGTAGTGCTTGTTTACTCAACAAAAATGGGTGTTTACCTTCCATTTAGCCCAGCGTACTATGCAAGTTTATAAGAAATATTATTCTACACAGATTGAAGGGGGGGGGGTGGAAGGGGGTGGAACTTTCCCATACATTCCTAGAACGACTTCTATGGCTAAAGAGCTGGCGCTTATTGAAACAAGCTTTGCGAGAAAGACTATAATAATGTAGCGACAATTCAATCATATCCATGTGAAGTACGTGAGCGCGAAAATAATTTTCGAAAAAAAGCTACAGGTTGTTCCCATATTCCAAAAACTTCCTGTCATTACAGTAACCGAGCTCTCTCCTACCGTAACCTCTTTGCGGCACGGTATGCCAAGTTCTCCTATACCGTAACCTCCTTATGGTACACTATTCATCCAATCAACTTGCTAAATCTCGCCCGCGCGGGACACATTGACATCTTCAATTTGACATTTCGAACTAACGGAAGCGAAATCGTCAGTGGAGCGGGGGAGCGTGGAAGAGAGTGCGCGCGAGAGAGCGAGCAGTGCGAGTAAGTTGGTGGCATCGCTGATTGGTGCTTGAGTGGTTCGGGGACGAGCGGGGCGAAGACGACAACGACGACGACGAGGCGCAACGTTTTCCTGTGCAGAGCGTATGCGCGACGAATTCTACACAATGAGATAAAGCCGGCGAAATAAGGTTAGAGCTGGCCCTGAGTCGCTCGTTGTCGGACCGACCGAGTGAGTTGTGTGCGGGCGTCGTCAGGTCTCTGTCTATACATTTGCTTCTTCAGCTAGTTTCGTCGTGTTGCTGCTAGGACTATTTACCAAATTAGGAAGTTTAAGGTTTTCTGCTTGGCTAGAAGAAGCTTCTGGAAGGTTCCTAAACCACAAAAATCAGATTCATACCAGCATGAATCTCACTCTAAATATTTTCAGATGAATCGCGCCATGCAGGTGAAGCCGGCGGATACAGAAAGCCGACCGGCTAGCCCAAAGGATAAGGTGAGGGAGGTAGTTGTTTAAAAGCCCCCTTGAAATTTTTTCAACTCTCTTAGACATTGTTGAACCCCATATTTGCCCCATATAACCCGCTTCCTTCACTTTCAGGTCGACGACAAAAAACTCTTTGTCGGTATGTTATCCAAACATCAATCCGAAGATGAAGTTCGTGCCTTATTCGCACCGTTTGGCGCACTCGAAGAGGTTTGCTCAGCTTAGATCTACTTTTTTGGGTAGGGTAACGAACTCCGCCATTTTGAGCAGCCTATGTGGACAACTGGTCCTTTTACTATACTGTTGAACATGTCATCTAAAGGCCAGTGATCCGTGGAGGTGGTCAAACTGGCGGAACTCGTTTCTCTACCCAACATTTTTCCTTCTTTGGCAATGTGCCAAGTCGTGATCCATGCGAGCAGCTGCGGAAGAAATTAGCAGACTTGACGAATGTGCGTGTGTTATGTCAATATTGCTCCCCTCTGGCTAGATATATTGAACGCGTATTCCTTAGGGAACAGAGCCAGCGCCTGAAAAGGAAAGCGTTTGACGTGGAATTGATGGATCTACGATTTGCGACTTAGCAATACTTTGGGGAGAAGAGTTATGATGGTTGTGGGAGATAAGATATGGGGTCGTATGGGAAAATGAGGAAGTAGGGGAGAAGTGAGTTAAGTGAACTTGTGGGAAGTGCAAATTATTTAAACCAGATTTGGAATACCATTAGATTGGTGGCATTGACCTTTTTCAAGCTTTCTGAAGGAAATGTGATGCTTTTCCTAGATAAGGTTGTAATTTTGAATTTTAAGCAGTTGGTGCTAAGCACTCGGTGCGTAAAACTGTCCTCCATTGATTTTTGTAATCTAAAAAATTCTAGTTACATATTTTTGGCGCAAAAAACAGAGCAGAGAAAAATATTTGCAATAATGCCGCCTAAGTGTTTTCCTAAGGACAACATAAGTTTTTCGCAATTCTCAAGGAATTTGAGATTCAGAGGTTCACACCCTTTGAGCGGATTCACTCACTCAAAAGTACCGTATCTAAACTGCACTCTACCACAAACTACACTCCGTTGCGGCGCAAAACTACCGTAATGTTACAGTATCGCTATTGTAAGACCTTCTTCAACTACCATATGATTCCTGTAAATTTTTTAGAATTTTGCTGGTCCGCTGCTTTTAGCAGAGTGAAACAAGCCTTTGATTTGTCACAGAACCGCGCTGTAGAACTACCGTATCTGGGTTGCGCTTTCTGCTTTGGCGCAGAAACTACGGTAAGGCCACAGTACCGCTGCCGTGAAACATTTTTGGATTACCATAGTCTTCTGTATCTAAAGAACTGTCCGTTCAAATGCTTTATTATAAAGCCAGAGACCTTTCAATTTGTTAGACTTACGCACTCAGATAATACTACCGTATTCACAGGGCTCGTCACTTTGCCAACTACCATGAAGTTACAGTACTGCTACCGAAGGCTTTCTTAGATTGTTATAATTCTTGGACCATTTGAGGAAATTCTGCTTAGCTTTTTGGCATGAAAATTAGGGGTTGATTTACATAGACTACGCACGCAAGCAAAACAACCGTATCCACGCGAATAGCTATATGGTCCTTTAGCTACTGTAACATACAGTATCCCTTGCCATAAAGCTGTAGTTCACAGCACACCTTATTTGTGTGGAGTTATGGGTGTTATGGGAAAATCTTATTTTCACTCAATTTTCCAAACTCAATCAAATTTTGAGGAAACTTCCATGCAAAGTCGTTTTGCGTCACTTCCTAGCACTTGAGCTTTTTTCAAAAAACTCTCAAAGCTGGCGCTAAGCTTAGTCACCGTGCTTTCTATCCGCAGTAAAGAAGCCAATAGCTTATCCCCTATAAGGCTATGTGTGTGTGAAGGGCTGAAGCGCCGATTGATTGTCGATATCCGTGTGCTCGGCTCTCAGAGAGACGACGCAAGAGCCGCCGCCTTTGGCATGGGGCACTCACACAGCCCAGTGCCTTCATTATAAATTGCGGGATCGAGAGAGATAACGAGGGGTAAAGGGTGGAGGGGAGGGGGGGGGGGGAGGAAGGAAGGGGAATTGTGTCAGGGTGGGCGAGCGGGATGGTAAGATTTTGATGTTTTATGGTAGCGGAGCTCCTAAGTAAGTGACCATCCTAATCCCAGTGTCAAAGATGAATTTTGACGCGGAAAAAATGCTCCAGAAGGTAGAAGCGGCCCAGGTGGCCCCGCCCTTCAACGTGGGTGGTCTAAAGATTAGAAAGTTTAAAATTGGGCGGCCCGCTTTCCTTTACGTATGATTATCAGATTTTCGACATTTTCATCCACCTTGAAACCTGCTTTGGAGTTCAATATCTTCGGACCACCCACGTTGATGGGCGGAGCTACCCGAGTCTCTTCTATCTTCTGGAGCGATTTCTTCACTTCAGATATTATCTTTTGAAGGGGGAGTTGGGCGATTACCTAGTTAGAGGCTCTGTTATCATACAGCATCAAAGTCAGAATCCTTAATTTGGGTAGACAGTGCCCTCATCTGGGGCTCATTGCGAAAATATACATCATTAGTGTCTTCAACTGAACTTCTTTACCCTTTAGGTCACAGTACTTCGTGGAGCCGACGGTGCCTCAAAAGGCTGTGCCTTTGTTAAATTCAAAAACGCACTCGATGCTCAAATGGCGATTACGGCTTTGCACGGCAGTCAAACGATGGCCGGTGCCAGTTCTAGCCTTGTTGTCAAATACGCAGACACGGAAAAGGAGCGACAGGTGAGAATTTCCTTCTTTTGGTCATGCCAAGTGCCTATGCGTTGTGACGGTGCTAATTAATTCCTCGATCCTCTCTATCTATCATGCCATATATAGGTTCGACGTATGCAGCAGATGGCAGCGCAGATGGGTCTTCTAAATCCGGTGCTAGTGAATCAGGTCGGCGCACAATATAGTGCTGCATATCAGCAGGTCTGTTAATCTCATATTGAAGCCTAGGGAAAATTATGAAGCATCCGCAAGTCATTTGTAACATGATTGTGAGTCTACACACTATGCGCAGCAATCGACGACACCTCTCACTAGAAAAATCTTCATAAACTCTACTTTAGCGCAATAATTTGTAAAAATGTGTACTAATAACAAATACATGACCAATTATCAGAAGAAACCAAAAACCATAAGAAATCACTGAGGAAAGCCGAATCTAGTCTTACAAGCCGTCAGGTAGCGGGCTTAGTGTGCAATATGCATACCAAGTTGCAAATGACTCCATAGAATCTCTTTCAACACTAATAAATTCACACGCAATGCACTTCAACCGGCTTCTCTGTTTACTCAGGGGCCAGCGATAACTAATTCCAGGATTCAATTACGATAGTGCATCCCTTTCGGGAAAAGCTCTTATTACATTTTGCTTGGTAAAAAACATGTGCAGAAAAAAAACGCAAAAAGGGAAAGTATCGTTTACACGCTCTTGATACTTTGAAATAAAAGTGACTAAATAGTGCAAAAGCTGCTTTCACAGCTCGTGCAGCGGTGCGAGCTGACGCTAAGTAAAGAGAACACTCCGATGTAAGAGACGCAGACAGCTCAAGTTGCTCCGCCGCACTGCAGGTTGTGCATTATCTGCGTCCACCCTTACTTGCACGCTTTTCATGGTCAGAATCAAGAAACACTATGAAGTTCTTGATTTTTTGCAAAAAACATAAGATACACCTCATTATTTAATTTTCTTTAGCTTCAGATCCTTCAGCAGCAAGCATTAGCTAATGCAGCCGCCGCTCAAACTTCTGCCGCCTATATGCCATTGGTCCAACATCCAGCGGTTTGTCACAGTTTTTTTACATTCAATAAAATTGCAGATTTACCGCTTAATTTAGCTCATGCAAATGCCAACTGGTACACCACTCTTGACCCAGCAAGGATTGACGCAAATCGGGCTGGCTGGCTCACAAATGATGGGCATGCAACAACATCATTTTCAAACGTTACAAGCGTTGGCCGCACAACAGCAGCACGTTCAGCAAGAATTTCAGTGCTCTCGTAAGTATTAGGTTCTCGGAAGATACATAGTCCGTTCCCTGTTCGCGTCGATACATGTCGATTGCGGACATTGCGCGCAACGTCGTTTGCTGAATCGCTTACGCGGCAATGTCACTCAAAATACGCAAAGGAAGAAAACACAAGCATTGAATTATGTCGGCTGGCATGCGTAATGACCGTAACTCGCACTTTCTACACGATCTGATGGCTCCGTCTATAAATACAGCCTGTGTCACTAGCGCAGTCCCTTTTCCAGCAGAGCGCATGTCCGCACGCATACTCGATCCAACTGATTCGTCTGATCACCTCATCCACTTTGCTATTAGTCAAATCAGTGAACTGACCAATAGCAAGGGGATGAATGATTTGACCGATAGGTCCGCACGCAAAGCTTTCGCGTTGCGGTCGGGTTCGACGCAAAAGGGAGCAAGCAATTGACGCAGACTATAACTCACTTCCAAGAAATAGTCTACTTTTTCTATTTTCAGCACCATCAAGTACGAACGGTGATGCTGCTTTCGCCATACAAAATGGTTATCCAATAATCAGCATGGATCAGCATAACAGTACGTCTAATTATCAAATTTCATTGATAATATCCAGTCAAGACCCATGTAGCCTTGCATCACCGCTTGTCACTTTGATTTTGGCTCTTCATCATATCGTGTGTGGTGGATTGTTGAGCAAGCGGCTGAACTGTTAAGAGAATGACATTGACGAGTCTCTACGCATTGTTATAGAGGAGGCATTATTTTGGAAAATTTTGAGTAGAATTGATTTGATGATGCCCCGCTCTAGAACAATGCTAGAATTTTTCTACATATTTTTGGTGGTGAGGTGAATATTTTTCATTCAATGGTGTCAGTATTTGCAAAGAGCGTCAATAACTGCGCTCCGAGTTTGTTTTGGTCACTCTCTATCTCGAGCTCTATTTTTTTCAATAGAAAAGTGAGGTCATAATGGTGTATTTGGTATTTGGTGTGTATATGTTTAGATGTGGCGCTGCAACAGTTGGCTCAGCTACATCAACAGGCAGCGGTCATGCCGCTCGTCACCCCCAAAGAGGGTACGTGTTGTTGTTTTTCTCATGAGGTCGGGTGCTTTCGTGGTCCTCGGCCCGAGCATTCTTTTTTGTGAATAGTCGGTTTCCTGTGTTTTACCGCTCAACTCTGCGTAGCTCTAACGATGCCGCCTCTCAAATCGAATAGCTTGCAAAATTCAAGCGGAAGCAATTTTCGAGCACTGCCAGCTTTTTCTACGCGCGAAAACGAATTCAGACTTCTTTCTATGAATTTGTGAGAGGTGCCACGTTGGTGTTCGGCGGCAATTCACTGTCGTGTCGTGTTTAGTGCTCGGTCCCGAAGGCTGCAACCTATTCATCTACCATCTGCCGCAAGAGTTCGGCGATGCCGAACTCATTCAGATGTTTGCGCCATTCGGCAATGTGATTTCCGCCAAGGTATTTGTGGACCGAGCCACCAACCAGAGCAAATGCTTCGGTAGGTACGCGTACGCTGCGTTATGCGCGCGCGTCAGGCCGTATTGCACACCCGACGCAGTGGTGCTCGCAACACGGCCTGACGCGCGCCGACTGCTACGCAGAGGCCACGCGTCGCGTCATGCGACACGACGCTGAGTCAGTGTTGCGCGAATGGTACTTGCACGTGAGTGTCGTCGGGTCGTTACAGGGTTCGTGTCGTACGATTCGTTGGCGGCATCGCAGGCCGCGATCGCGGCGATGAACGGCTTCCAAATTGGCATGAAACGCCTGAAGGTGCAACTGAAACGGCCTCGTCAGGATCGACCCTACTGAGACTGACCGAGAAAGTGCATGTTGTGCTACACTTTCACCGCCACACGCCCCTATCCCCGTCCGTGCCTTCTTTCTACGTTCTTTTCTTTTTGATTTTATGATTTAGCTAGCTTTTTTAGTTCATAGATAAATAATAATTCTACTTTTATTCTTCAAAAATTTTGCGAGTGATGTAATGTATTGGCAAATCCTTGGCAATTTTACAGCAGCGGCGATAATTTATAAAATTGCGCAAATGACTTGTTTACACCGGTAAATGATTAAATTTAATTTTTGGAAATTTCTAAAAAATTGAACCAGCCTTATGAAAAATTTGTTCAATATAGGCCCGCAAAAATCCTGGAATTCTGGAAACCCAAACAAATTTTTTTTGTAGGGCGCTACTCGAAAAACTCTCGTCCCCTTTTTTTCTGCAAACATGAGCAATTCTGAATCTGAGAGCTAGCTGAAGCACCGACTCTGCTCATTGTAAAGCCAGTAGTCGGCCAGACAGTCATACTAGGTTTGATTTTGCCAAGTATTTGAGAAATTTAGGAGAGCCCCACTTTATCCGCTTTCTCAAAGGTAGCAAAAAAGCGCATTCTCTAAAGTTCTATTTTTTTGCCGCTGATAATAGAGAAAACCTTTTTATTCTTTTTTATGTTAGCAAGAGTTCTGTAATCGCATCGCGTTTACGATTTTTATGCATATTTGCGCTGAAAAAATTCTAGGCTCTAAAGTTTTGATAAGATATTTTGATAAGCGTTATGTAGCATAAATATTATATACACAGCGAACGATACGCTGTTTCAGAAATTTCCGTCTTTTGCCTATGGATGTAGATAGAGTAAAGAAAAATTCAAATTTGCTTTGTTGCCCTTTCAAGGAAAGAGTTGCAACGAATAGAGGTTGAGGAGAAAGAGAGCATATGCAGAAACCAGGGAAAAAAGATTTTTTGATGATATTAGCGATGATTACAAAAATTTAGTTTTTCTTCAAACTTTCGAACATGTAAAATATTTATCATATTATGGAAGTGTGTAGCAATTAGCTTCAAAAGATAATACAAATTTAAAGAGATTGTTCCATTAACAGAATATGTAGTCAACTATTAGACTGAGTTTGTATGTTAAACAGGTTGAGAGTCATCTCACAAGTTGAAACTTGTCCTTCGCGTTAATTCACATGCTTTACTGCTTTGATTGAAAGAAAAGACATGTTTGAGCTCGTCAAATGGACGCATGCTTGCTTTCATGAGTCTTCTAATCGAACAACCTATTAGTGTAATTTCGCGCATGTATCGGAGGCAGAAAATTGACCCATGGGAGTTTTCATGTAGTAGTGATGAGATAAATAGATAAATAGAAGGTCGATAAATTGCTGCACTGCAGCATTCTGTTGCATACATCTTTTCAAAGGATACGCTGCGAGAGGTAGGTCCGCAGGCGCATAAGTATACTGTAGCGCTAGCAACGATTCGAACCATTGCTCGTATAGGCTGCAAGCGGTTTACACTTTGATTTGGACGCAGATTTTCTCTTGTGGGCTAATGATCATGCGAAATTTGCTCTGAATGTTTTTGAATGGTCGTAAAAATGTTACGCTTTTTGAGATTATGATATAATGTTATATTTTTCATATAACAAATATTTTCTCACTACCTTTTGAAAGATTGAAGATGTGACAGAATTGCATATTATTTTCAGGTGATTTCGCCCGCAGACCCCCACCATTTATTCTTCGTCCGTACTAGTCGTAAATTGTTCGTCTCAATTTCTGTCATTGAAGTTTCATCTTTTAATGCATTTCGACTTGATGTTTATTTGCATTATTGTGTAGCATTAGTTCATGTGTAACCTATAATTTCCCAATTCTGGCAGCGAGACGGTTAGAGTTCGGTTGGAAATGTGTGATGCGTTAGTTGTACCGCTTGGACCGCAACGCTGCCGCCTTGCATTAGGCATACGCGTGTTGTGCCAGTTTCGGACGCAAAATGCACGCAGCATCGCGTTTCATCTTCTGCCACAATCTTCTATTGCTCTAGTCATTACTTTCCATTTGTAAGAATCAACGAAACTTTGATTCTCATATATCTATGGCATTCAGCATACTGAGCATTCCAGGTTTCGATAATTTTAATAATTATAGCACAAGCAGTGACTTTCCTTTACTCGCCATATTCGGTTCCTTTAGAATCTGTCATTTTGTACAACTCAATTGATTGAGCGGAAGAAGTTGTGACTATTAAATCATTTAGTATCGATCAATTTTACTCGCCCATAGCGGTTACGAAATCCAACTTCTCGTAAATGCTCAGTCTACACATACAACGGTCCAATCTAGTCTCTTGCACACCAATGATTCTGGTATCCATTTTTGTTCATTATTTGTATTATTTTCACGTATCCTTATTTATTCCCATCGATCTGATATGATCGATACTCATATGTCACGACATGATCTCATGTGTACAGAAGTTTCTTTATTTAGTAATTGTATTAATTCTTATTCATTGTATTTATTATCGTAATTATTGTATGTTTTTTTCATACCAATGCACGTCAATGTCTATGTAATGATGCTGCAGAACCACTCTTGAGACGATTTCTTGAGATGATCATGGCGAATATGGATCCCTTTCATCCACAATTAGAAGCAGTATAGAGTTATGGCAAAATTTCTTTCCGATAAATATTCCTCTATGTGAAGTTTTTAGTGTTTTGAGGTTGCGTTCATAGCACAGGGATCTATGAGCTGGGAAAGTGCAAGGCAGCTTTATTACCAATCTTGTTTATCGACACAGTTGGAGTGAGGATAAGGGTCATAGATACATTATCTACTGTTTCCAGTGCGGATTGGTCGCAACTTTCTTTGCTTACTCTACAATTGTCGACGTTTCACGATGAATAATTCGGCATTGAAATACAGATATGCAGGTTACATTTCGTGATCCAGGGGACTCCTATTGTGGTATGGAAAACACAACATCACTAAATAATACCGGAGGTGGAAATAGAGGAGTTTGTTCAATTACTTGAACTGAGAAGTGAATGGGCATTATTGGTCCCATGCGGCAAGCATTTCAAAACTTTGGCCAACAAGTCAGATCCCAGCCAGCGGCTTGCGCAATAACCTCACTGATTCAATTTTTGGACCACATTTCTCAAGCGGAAAACAACATCTGACATGCAGTATCATTAATGAGCGAACTTTGAAAAGGCGTCATGCAAGTTTACGGTGATGTTTAAAGCAAGCCATTCTCAGATAGGGTGACAGCAGTGGCACAGCGAGAAGTGATGAAACTATTTCTGTAAACAGTACCTCTCAAGCTGTACGTCTTTGATTGCATTCATGCGTGTGGTACCCAAAAATGACATTTTCTCGATGCTTTTCACGACTGCGAGCGGGATACGATACTATATAAGCGAACGTTGAGATGGAAAGGCACACTCACGCTTGTCATTAATTGGGAACATACCATCATAATAGACAGTATACTAAACTTTGAATGTATATGATTTCCAGTATTTTTCTAGCAAGCTTAGCAGCAGATCGCGTGCATGACGGTGTACGAAATGTCTTTAAACGATTTTCCAAACTCCAGTTGTCTTATTTAGCTGTAGAAATGTACGGCTCAGCTGCGTTCTTGCGTTTGGCTATCATATGCTTGATCATTTACAAGGTTGTGACAACAAAGAAAGTGATTTATATATGTTCAGCAAAGATGGCACCAGATGCTTTTTGGTGTCGTGTGTTTTGAGTATATGAATGTCTGACGAATGTTACGGGAGTTTGCAATCTGGAAACGAATTAAAGCCTAAGCTTGATTAAATACCACTGTAGGCATAGCCGCGATAGGGCTCGGCACTGGTGGCAATGGGCACAGTGGCTATCCTGTGAAGGTAAAAGCAGATGTACTTCCCTCCCCTGCGGCTTTTGACAACCCAAAGCACTTGCGGCCAATGCGGCTTCGAAGGCAGTGACTCGGCAAAGCTGAAAATGAAATATGAAAACAAGTCCGGGCGCACAGCATGCTGCCCTTGCCAAGAAGAAGCCATTCTTACATGCGCTTGGAGAAGATTGCTATTTTCTTCCTACTGTTGCAGTCCGCATGCTGCAAAGTTATAATGATAAAAATTCCGCAACGACTGGGAGATATTCCACTCGTCCAAATCCAGATAGAAGGGCCTCCGAATGCTGATTCGCGCCACTTTCGCGCTCGATAAGGTAGATGTTTGGAATTAAGGCATTGTACTACCCCAGGTAAGCAGAAAAATTTCAGACCGAGAATTGCCGAGCCACTGCCGTAAGTCTGAAAATGCCTTCAAGTTTTTTTTATCAAAGAAAAATGATGCAAAACAAGACAATCATTTCTTCTCTAACAAGCAAAGCGTGAAGCCATATCTTCGATAGTCTAGAGACAGGGCGCCAAAAGTGAAGGTTGTTTGAACATCTGACGTCATAAATAGTGAAGGTTGTTTTAAGAAGATCAGAGAAGAGAAGATGACGTAAAACAGATATAAAAAGCAAAAGAAACTGCTGAAAACCGGTAAAACCGATAAAAACACTGCAATAAGGTTGATAACTTTCATTTGGCGGCTTTTCAGAGTGCAAGTTTTCGCTCCAGAACCAGTAATTCGCAACAAGGTTTTCGTTTTTGATGCGTCCTTTAAATTTTTACCCCCGCATTGACGTTCCCGTTTCCTGGGACGTTACTGGATTGTTGCGCTTATTATTCTGAGCAACAATTGCCCAAGCTAGAAAAAAGTCGAAAGCACTGAAGCAGCGGAGACAGACCAAAGCCGACAGGGCATTTGGCTCTGGTTGTAGATCTCCGCGGAGTCTCGACGAAACCCTGTAACATTATATATCATTGTGATCGTCATGACACGTAGAGGAGAACTGACAACGTCCCAAGCTTTGAAATCACTCATTAACGAGATAGACCAGCGTATTCATGCGCGTTTCTTTGCGCAAGAATTAAGCGCAGTTTCTCGTTTTTATTCAACTCCACTAGCTTT